ATATATATATTTGTTTTATTTGAGCCATTCCATCGGATCTGGTGTACAAATGTACAATGTAAATGGAAATGCTTAGCGTTCCCGGCCCTCCCGGACCCCGCATCCAGCCTCCATGTATCCCAGAGCCAGGAAAACCTCTCGCCCCGCGGTAGTTGCGAGTTAGGACGTTAGAGCTTCTGCACAGGTCTTGATGTGACTCGTCACCCAACCTGTTTGGGGGAGGACGGGCAAGGGCGAGGGCAGAATCACCTGAAATAAATGTGCAAATTGCTGTTGAAAGCTCCGTGAAGAGTGGGTTTATTCGCCACCTTCGGTCTCCAGCAAGCTGGGGGGGGGGGGCCCAACTCAGCCCATCGCTGCGCTGCCCTCCGCGCCCTCTGACCGTCGCCTCTGCACGTCGCGAGGACAAAACCTTCCGCAGGCTTCGAGGGACGGGGCGAGTCCCTTGGCGTTAGCGCCCGGGGGTAAAACACGGCGGGCGACGGAGCTGTTTCTCAGCCTGGGCGCACCAGTGCCGCCAACCTTCAGGTGCAGAGGCGCCCCGGACCCAAACCGGTGGGGATTTGCCCCAGGTTTTAACCGTGGCTGTGGGAGCAGTTTTGCTATAGCAGGTGCTTTTGACGGGGGAGGATTTGGGTGGTAAAACGGGTTTTTGGCTCTGAGCAAGCTGGGGCCCTGGAAAGGACTTGCTCTGAGCACCAGGCTGGCGCACCCCAGCCCAGAGGGGTTGACACCGCCCGGATTGAGGACAGGCTCTCGGCTTTCCTGAGATTTCAATCAGTTCCTGAGCAAAACGCAATCCAAAGCCTCCAGCCTCTCCCGACACCCCTGCTGGTGCCGCTGGGGAGCCAGCAGAGCTCATCTCCATGCAAGTGGGTCAAGCTTTTCTCACTTCTCCCCAGGTAACGCACCAGCCTCGGCTCCTTCCTCCGTTCCCCCCCGGCATCGCAGCATTAGCTGACAGCAGCTTTAATGTAAGGACACAAGTGCTTCTGCATGACTGTTTCAGGAAGGTTTTTCATCTGACCAACCTCCGTGGCACAAGGCCAATTAGAGCTGTTCCTTGTCTGTGTTTTGGAGTTCAGCACTGTGCAAAAAGATGGGGAAAAACATGCTCTGTGATACTGGAGGAGCCTCCAGCCAAAGCAGCACAGCAGGCAGCAGGGTCTCTGCCTCACGGTTTGTATGGCACAGGGGCTTCTCCCAGCCTGGTCGGATGGGGCTAGGATGCCTCTTTGCCAGGGATGGATGGGCATTTCCATGGAGGAGGGGGCTGTTTCGGGGGACGCTGACACCTGCAATGGGAGCCAGAGATGCCACGTGATGGGACCTGCCGGCTGTCAAACCTGCGGGCAGAGATGCCGTGGAGGGTGCCACCAGCTCTGCCGGCGCTGGGCACATCCACAGTAGGGTTTGAGGGTTTCCCAACCTCTCCCCAGCCCCATGCCCCTGCATGGTGGTAGGGCAGCTCTAGGCAACATCCCAGGCACTGATGGTACGCCAGCCTCCCCCTCCGGCACCCTGTTGCCCCACGTCCAACTGCAGCCAGAGCTGGTATGACCCCACCAGCATGTTGGGAGATGCCCAGAGCCCCTGGCCCTCTGCTCGTGCTTGCCCGGTGCAGCTTTGCGGCTGGATACAGGCCAGCCGGGGCTGCGAAGTGGTTGCACATCCCTCCCTTGGCACATGGGACGTGTCCTGGGCTGCCACCAGCGAGGTGGGTCCAGCCCAGGGACAGGCAGCGATGGAAGACACCTGGCCATAGGAGAAGTGCAGATTTATTACTGAGCTGGGGACAGGGATGAAGCGATGCCACCCCGTCACTCCTGTGCAGCCCCGCGATGTGACAGTGCCAGGCCAGATCCCCCTCTCCACCCCCAGGCACACAGCCCTGTGCCCTGTTCCCCTGGGGGTCAGAGCAGCCCCACTGAGTAGCTCCTGACCCTTCCTGCGGGATGGGGGTCTGAGGGTCCTGGACCAGCACAGCACTCTCTCCTCATCACCATCAACTTGCAATCCAAGGGCCCGCGGTGAAGCTCAGGCATCCTCAGGGCCACCGGGAAGCTCGCAGGGTTCCTGTGGAGCACTCAGGCAGCCGTGCCCGCCGGCCCGGCCTGCTCCCAGGCCATGGAGGGGAGCGCCATGTGCTCGGAGACCGGCCACACGCAGGCTGCAGAGGGAGAGGAAGCAGCAGTGTGAACGGCAGTGAGAGCAGGGGCACCTGGCTGGTGCGATATTGCATCCCCGGGCTGGGGTGCCAGCTGGGGGACGGTGCTGGTGAGCCCCGGGAGGATGCAGGTCCCGACCGAGGGGCTGGAGGGTGGCTCAGGCTCCCTCCCAACTCATCTGATTTGGCTGGAGCCAGCCTGGACTCTGCACCTGGGAGGTGACACAACTGGGAGGTGACACAGCCCAGCACACCCCTATCCCAGGTGGACGGCGAGCTACTAGTGCACCAAGGGACCACTACGGGATGGGGTGCGCCAGGGAAAGGGAACGGCCTTTGCTATCCAAACCTCTACCTCGAGGAGTGTTCAGCCCCCAGCTCGCTCCTGCCCCGACCCCCTACGGCTGCAGCCACGGGTGGGGGACCCCAGGCAGCCAGGCACTGCTAGGGCCCGAGCCAGCGCATTTGTCCCCAAAAACACCTCTGCAAGGAGACAGGGCCGTGGCTGAGCCTCAGCCAAACCTTGGGTGCTGGCTCCCTCCAGTGCCGGCTCCCAGCAGCTCCTTTTCCTGGCAGCGCTGGTGAGCGGGATCCTTGCTGGCTCCCTCTGACCAGCCCCGTGGTGGGTCAGATTGGGGTGGACCAGCACGGACCAGGCTCAGGGCTAGCTCCACCACGGCTCAGCCACAGGCAGAGGCCAGCGTCCCCAGCAATGCCCTCTGAGGGGTCTGTGAATGGGGATGGAGGAGAAACTGAGGCACGAAGCCCCCACCGTGCTGTGCCTCTTGGCACCCCCCAGCCCAAACAGGGTGCCTTTGGCATGGGGATGCAGCCAGCGCCCATTATGCCAGCCCCACCGGACCCACGACGTGCCAAAACGGGAGCAGAGCTGCAAGGCAGGGTGCTTCATTTGCTAAACTAGACCTAGTCTGCACAGCCGAGGGAAGGGGCTTTTCGGGGCAGTGGTCTCCCCACCCAGATGCTGAGGTAGCAACCAGCAGCACCCCTCCCGAAGGTTCATGTAGCCAGGAAGGCTCACATGCCCTGACTAGCCCCAGCTCAAAGCATGGCCTTGGCACCAGCTCCCCCCGAAGCCCTCCGGCCCCGTGCACGCACAACGCACCCGCGTCGAGGCCCGGGTGCAGGGGGGTGTCGTAGGCCTGCAGGAACTGCTCGGGGCTCTGCAGCTCATGGCAAGCCAGAAGGTGGCCGACGGTGGCCTCAAAACCCAGCAGCTCCGGGACCTGCTCCACCAGGTTGTCAAGGAGGTGCGGGGGGCTCTGAAAGTCACAGGGAGGACTCAGATGTTCAGGTCTGGTCGTACAGGTGGCACCAAAAAAGAACAACCCCGTGGCCTCTCCCAGACCCCCCCAAAGCAAAAGCCCCCCGCCATGGGGGGGCTGCTTCAGAGGGTGGCAAAGAACGAGACAGCACCACAGTCCCTGCGGCTGAACCCTTGACCCATGGCCGGTGGCACCCAGCGGCTGAGGGCTGCGGGTGAAGGAGGGGACCCATCTCACGCACTGCCGCTGGGCCTCACCTCAGGGCATTTCAGCAAGAGCATGCCGAGCCTCAGCAGCATGGCCAAACACTCGCTTGCGACGCCCTCGAGGGGCTCAGTGCTGTCATCGCTGGGCCTCACGGACACGCTCAGCACCTTGTAGCTCCACTCCCGGAAGAGCCGCGAGGGGATGTTGTGCGACAGCACCAGAATCTTGGGGTCCAAAACGAGGGGCCTGGGATGGGGCAGGAGAGAGAGCTGAGGAGCTGCTCCCTTCCACCCCGGGACACGGGGTCACCTCTGCTGGCCACACGTGGCCCCAGGGACCTGGGGACGGGCCATGCCCTCTGCAGCCCTGGGCACAGTCAGGAGTAAGGCGCTTCACGAGCTGCTCTCCCAGGAGCTCCCAGCAGCTATCTGCACCCATCCCAGCTGGACTGCAGCACCCAGAGGCTGCATCCAGCCAGCACCTGGGGACCATCACCTGTGTCCCTGCTGCCGCAGGTCCCGCAGGTCCCGCAGCACAGAGAACAGCACATCGCTGGAGGCCTGCAGGAGGGAGTAGGTACCTGAGTCTGTAGCAGTTGTGGCCAGAGGCGAGGGTCTGAGGCCACCTGCTCCAGGGCATGGGTCAGCCAGGGCAACTGCGATGGAGCGAGCACGAATGTGCCCCCTGCATCACCCTGCGTCATGCATGCCACAGCTGGGTCCTGCATCCCCCCTCCCCATGCTGGCTGCACCGCCGCAGGGTCCCTACCTCGAGCACGTGGGCCATGCAGGAGGGGTACAGCAGCAGCAGCCCCGTGACAGCTTCACCTTGGTAGTAGCGCTGCAAGCTCTGGAAAAGCCGGTCCCAGTACCCTGTGGAGCGCCCGTGTCACCCAGCACCTCATCACCCACCCCGTTGATGACAGGGTGGCCACGGGAAGGGTGGGAGCATCCTACCTGCCAGCTCACGCTTGTCCACTAGCTCCGGGGAGATCCTCGCCACAAAGATCAACCTGTGCAGAAGGGCCTTCTGGCAGGGCGAGAAGGGGGGGAGCTGGGGCTGGGTGTACGTGGGTGTCTGCCCAGCCCCGCTGCGGTGGTGAGATGGAGAAAGAGCTGAGGCTGGCCTGGCCCCCCCATGTCCCCACACATATCCACGCCTGGTGCAGGGCCACCACTTAGCACGTCCCCAAATCCCCCAGCAGTGCATGAAGGTTGTGGGGTGCCTCCTGCTTGGTGGAGTCAAGATCGTGGGGCAACTTGGGGTGCCAGAGCCCCTCTCCTACCTGCCCCGTGCTGCTGCCTGTTGGCCCCCCGCTCGCCCGTCGCCGCAGCACCCACTGCAGGAGGTTTGTCCGGTCGAGCTGGGGTACCAAGTCCCTGGGTTTCCTCTGCGGCTTCGGAGCACGTTTGCGCCTCACCATGGTCCCCACCAGACACTCCGCCACGGCGGCTGGGGGCAGAGGCCAGTGAGACCCTGCTGGTCCCCACGCCCCGGGGCTCAGGCAGCACCCGAGGGCCCACACCGCTTCTCCGTGTCCTAGTAGCTGGGCCAGGGCTTTGTTTGCCGCCTGGGGAAAGTTGCTCTGGCAACGCGGCAGCAAGCAAGCCCTGGTTTCCCAAGGCCAGAGCGTGGCAGTCGAGGGCTGGCTTTGCCAGGTTCCCACGGCTTGGGCTCGCTCCGTTCCTCAGAGGTGGTGGGGCCCCGCAGCCGTCCCAGGAACTGGACTCCATATGCCAGCCGTGGCAGGTCCCAGGGCCCTTCCTCAGGGTGGGAGGATTCCCTGCCCGCTACCTGCTCTGCTGGGGGGCAGGAGGGTGCCCTTGGTGCAGCACCTCACAAACGTGCAGACACATGCGTGCGTGCACGTGCACACGCACACACATTGCGGCTCCCGCGCCACGACCCGCCTCGGGCGCAGGCATGGGATGCCGGTTGAGTTTGCAGGGTGTTTGACCTGCTCGTGCGAGGACGAGGCAGTGGGAAGTGCTGGGGCCCAGCTGCGGCAGGATGGGGGCAGTGGCAGCACTGCGGGTTCGCAGGGATGCTGTACCCCACGCCAGGCCCCAACATGCGGGGGAGCCTGAAGGTGGATGGCACCTCCACCTCCATTTGCTCCACCTCAACCTCAACCTCACCTCTTTCACTTCCACGTCTTCCACCTCCTCCCCCCCTACCTCCATATCGATCTCTTCCAATGCCATTTCCATTTCCTCCACCTTCATCTCACCTCCCACCTCCTCCATCTCTCCTAAAACTCATCTCCACCTCCTGTACGTCCACCTCCATCTCCATCTCCTCCAAGGCCACCTCTGTCCCAACCCCACCTCTACCTCCTCCACTTCAATCTCCTCTGCTCCACTTCTACCCCCAACCCCACTTCCATCTCCAGATCCATCTCCCTCAATCCCACCTGTTTCCTCCACCTCTACCTCAAGCCCACCTCCACCTCCATGTCCACGTTCACTTCCATATTCATCTTCCCCAACCCCCCTTCCACCTCCACCACTTCCATCTCCTCTACCTCCACCTCCTCCACTTCCATTCCAACCCCACCTCCACACTTGTCTCCTCCATCTCCTCCTCAGCCTCCTGCTGTGGCCACATCAAAAGCTGGGTATCATCTGCAGGCTCCTTCTCTTCGTGGCCCCAGCTGACAGAGTGGGCATGGCCTCCCATGCTGCAGGACATGGTACCCTGGCTCTGCCCTGGTGCCACCACCTGTCTTGGGGTGGGGGGGCTCATACCAGGCACAGCGCCACCGAGGGAAAGACAGGAGCCAACCAACGCTGTCCCCACAGCCATGCCACAGCTGGCCTGCCCACCATCCACCCTCATGCTCAGCGTTGGTCGCGTCAACTCTCCCAGACATGCCGGGGGGGGCAGGGGGGGATGGTTCCCAGAGGGGCCATGTCTGCTTCCCACAGCATCAGGGCTGCAGAGCTCACGGGGGAGCCGCTGAGTCCAAATCCTGCCCTGCAGGAGCAGTTGGGCCTTCACCTGGGCCATCCCTGCCTGGTCAGCAGAGAAGAGCTTGTGCCAGCGATGCGGCCGCCGAAGCCGAGTGCCACCCGAGGCCCTGACCTCAGGCACGGCCCAGCT